TCATCGCTCTAAGTTACTAAGTCATAGGTGCTCGTGGTACTGATGAATAATTAGTTATTTAATTGAATGGCAAGTAATCGCCCCGGGTCATTGGGTGAAAGGCGATTGTGTTACGTACAAATAATTATTCATCTGATATAGTGGCCAGTAAGAGCCCTGAATTATTGGGCATTGGAAGCTTGTGCTATTTATTAATAATTATTTATTTGATACAGTGGCCAGTATGCGCCCTGAGTCACTAGGTGATAAGTGCTTGTGTTACTAATGAATAATTATTTATTTGATAGAGTTGCCAGTAAGCACCCTGGGTCATTGCGTGATAGGCACTTGTGCTATTTATTGATGATAATTTTTTTCGATCCAGTGGTCAATAAGTTCCTCGGGTTATTGGGCGGTAGGCACTTGTGTTTTTTTTAAATATTTATTCATTTAATAGAGTAGCCAGTATGCGCCCTAGGTTAGTAGGTGATAAGCGCTTGCGTTTCTGATGAATAATTCTTTATTTAATAGAGTTGCTAGTAAGTACCTAGGGCAACTAGGTAAGAGGCGCTCGTGCCATTTATTAACATATATTTATTTAAAAGAGTATTTAGTAAACACCCTAAATCTTTTGGTATAGGTGCTTGTGTTATTGATTTATAATTATTTATTTTACAGAGTTAACCAGTAAGTGCCCTAAGTCATTGGGTAAAAGGCGATAGTGTTACGTACCAATAATTATTTATTTGATACCGTGGCCAGTAAAACCCCCAATTTATTAGGCAATGGAAGCATGTGGTATTAATTAATAATTATTTATTAATAAAGTGGCCTGTAAGCGCTCCAGGTCATTGGGGAATAGGCGCTTGAGTTACTATCAATAATGAATTCAACAAAGTGGCCAGTAAGCAACACAGGTCAGTAGATGATCGGTGCTTGTAGTATTTAATAATAATTTTTTGTTTGATAGAGTGGCCAGTAAGCGCCCCAGGATGTTTGGGTAGCAAGCACTTGTGTTATTTATTAATAATTATTTCTTTGATAAAGTTGTCAGTAAGTGTCTCGGGTCATTTAGTGATAGGCACTTGTGTTATTTTTGAATCATTATTAATTTGATAGAGTGGCCAGTATGTGCCCTGGGTAACTAGGTAATAGGCGCTCGTGTCATTTGTTAACAATTTTTCATTTAACAGAGAGGCCAGTTAGCGGCCTAGGTCATTTGGTGATAGGCGCTCGGTTATTGATTCATAGTGACTTACTTTACAGTGTTGTCTGTAAGCGCCCTGGGTCATTGGGTGATAGGCGCTGGTGCTATTTTTTAATCATTATTTTTTTTAATAGAGTGGACAGTATGCGTCATGGGTCACTCGGTGATAGGTGCTTGCGTTACTGATAAATAATTCTTTATTTGATAGAGTTGCCAGTCAGGACCCTGGGTAACTAGGTAATAGGCGCTTGTGTTATTTATTTACAATCATTTATTTAACACAGTGGCCAATAAGTGACCTAGGTCATTTGGTGTTCGGCGCTCAGTTATTGTTTTATAGTTACTTACTTTACAGAGGTGCCAGTAAGCGCCCTGAGTTCCTGGGTGATAGGCGCTTGTGTTATTTATTAATGATGATTCATTTAATAAAAAGGCCAGTCAGTGCCCTAGGTCATTTGGTGTTCGGCACTCGGTTATTGATTTATAGTTATTTACTTTACAGAGTTGCCAGTAAGCGCCCTGAGTTCCTGGGTGATAGGCGCTTGTGTTACTGATAAATAATTATTTATTTGATAGAGTTCCTGCTGACAAATCTTACCTGAGATCTCATCTGATATCTCATGTGATTTCTCACCTGAAATCTCATGCCAAATTCTCATCTGAGATCTCAGGTGAGATTTTGGAAAGAAAAATTAATAAAAAAATTTCGTGCGACAATTATAATTCACACATCAATAGAATGATTACCTAAAATATCAACAGATATAGGAAAAACAAAAACAAAATTCAGCTTATTTGGGCTCTGAACTCGAGCCCACAGTTCAACAGGCAAGCATCTTACCGCGTGGCCAGAGAGGATGAAATACCAGTCCGACAATTTACGTGTATATAAAGTGTAAGTACCATGTGTTATTGTTTTTCTTATTCGCAACTAAATCATACAATTTGTACCATTTTCTTTG